TTGGTAGGTTTAGGGGTGGAGATGGGTGTGATTAGGTATCAGGGGGTGGAGAAAGGTAGGTTTAGGTATATGTAAGGTGGGAGGAGTTGGATCTGGATCCAACCACGCCCCCTGGATCTTGTGTTCTACAGTGAGGACCATCTCGTAGAAGAGGCTTACAGTCATAAGTCAACTGGAATCACATAATGTTAGTCTTGACTGAAGATTCATTTACGATGATTACCGTTATAAGGATCTGAAAGAACTTCTGAAGAAACATTCAGTACATTTAATGTAAAGGCACATTTATGTAGTTGTCAGTGTTTCATGCTTTATCACAATACTGGCATACAGCCTCCGTCCTGCATCAAGTTATCAAGGGAAATCTGCTGTTCAAATTACACATTAAATAGAAACAAAATAACAGTATAATGCAGCTTAACGAATGTAAGGGGAATTACAGTTTACACCGTTGATGCCATTAACAGATGGTCCCTGACCCTAAAATAGCATCTCTGACAGGCAAACTTTAGAAGTGACGTCACCTACTAAATCATAATCATGTTTAATGACTTACCAATGCTGTAAATAAACTCCACTGCATTAACAGAAGCTTTCAGTTCTTCTGTTTCATTCTGTGTTGATTCATTCTCCTCCATGTGTGTCTTAGAAAGTAGATAAAACAAGAAACAATCACAATAATAGTTCAAAATATTGCCTAATATATATATATATATATATATATATATTACATGGATCTTTAAGATCGTAACAGTTGAAGATTTATTTAAACTATGCGCGTATTTTTTTTCTTCTTTTTACCTGGATTGTATATTGATTTTCAACTGCTCAGTCCTTCAGATGTCAAACAAACAAGAGCTACTTTGCTAATGCTATTAAAAAATATCAGAATAAACAGAATCAACAAACTAACTTTAAAATGACTTAACTGACTTTAATATTACAGGAAATGGAACAAATTACTAACAGCGTCTACATTAGTCATTTAACTCGTTTTATATACGGTCTAGATGTGTTTTTCGTTCATGCCTCAAACTTATTAGCGTCTCTGGTTTCCTTAGTAACGCTGGTGTCAATATCTACCGTAAACCTTTTTGTATTCGCGCCAATATTGTCACAGTGCAACACCTTCAATGCAGACACATATTTGTTATTAATAAATAGGTTTATTATGACAAACCGTTCATAAATATCAGTGCTTCTTTTACCCTAAGTATTCAAAACGCATTTAACGTCATTTTTAATGGGATTCACTACACATCTCCAAAACACAGAGTCAAAGGTAAGGGAAAAACGTGCTTTAGAATGACAGGAAAGCTTGTTTAAAAAAAATCCAAAAAAAAAATCAGACAATGCCTTTCAAAGCCTACTACATACTTAAAGTTAAAATAAATCTATGTTTGTGTACAAAACAATGCCCAAGTCTACTTCACTTTTTTTTCTTTAGGTTACTGTTCAAATTGACATTAATGCTTGATACGTAGGGAGCAATAGTTTGGAATGGTTTCAGTGGTCACATCCTCCAAACGTCAGTGGATGAAAGCCTTAACGGTCCTTATAAATGTCCTTCCGTCTGCGCAGCTCCTCTAAAACACGGGCCCGATATGACGTCCAGTCCTCGTCCTGCTTCTGCTGCAGACCCAGAGCCCGGTGAAGATCCTGGGAGTGGCACCGCAGGAAGGGATTGTATTGCTTCTCCTCTGCTAGGGTGGATGGGCACTGTATGAAGAGGAGAGAGAATGACTTTAAATCAAGCTTGGCTGGTAGGAATATTATTTAGAAGTTTTAGAATAATATTACATGTCTAGAGATGTAATAATTATCTTGGATTTCTTTGATATTAGGACTTTTTTCCCCCATAGACTTCTTGTCTTCCTTACTGTGCAGAGTCTCTGACCCCTCTGTTGCAGCACCCACTGCAACTTCTGCTCCCGTACAACATTGCAAGGCTCCACTTCAGCAGCAAACAGCAGGTTATCTTCAGCATACTCATGTCCTGAGAAGAAAGACCTACTTTATTAACATAACCATGAAGCTTTTCCTGAGAAACACACACAAATACTAGTTTGAAAAAATATAAAACCAAAAAAGTTGTGTACAAAAACTAAAAATGACAAAGACTTGCCACATTGCAATTAACCCTGGGTTAATATGTTTTTTTAAACTCTGGGTTAAAGCCACTTTAAGCATAAGGTTAAAGGAATAGTCCACCCAAAAAAGAAAATTCTGTCATCATTTACTCACCCTACTGTATGACTTTTTCTTTTCTTTTGCAGAACACAAAATAACACATTTTGAAGAATGTTGGTAACTAAACAGTGTTGGTCCCCATTGACATCCATTGTATGGACGAAAAACACAATGGAAGTCAATGGGAACTAAATTATTTTGTTATCAAAATTCTTTAACGGGGTGGTTCACTGGGTTTTTTCTAGGCTTGATTGTGTTTATGGGGTGCAGTCTAACGTGTTAATGCTTCGTTTTTTTAAAAAATGCATTATTTTTCACATAATATTCCACACCGCTCTGTCCCTTCTCTGAGAAACGGGCTGATAATTTCCTTCTTTTATGAAGCCCCTCCCTCAGAAATAGGCGATGGGCTCTGATTGGTTAGCTAGCCCAGTGTGTTGTGAACAGAATCATGATTCATATATTAATATATTTTTACGTGCACCTCTAGTTTTCTCTTCCTCTTCTCTAAAGCAGCGCAGCATGGCCTCGCCCCCTTTGCTGCCTTTTCCCGAGGGCGGAGTTTATCTGGGTTTGTGATGTCACAAACCCGGGAAGTAGCTCGTTGTAGTCCCTACGAGCCGTTTTTGTAGGCATTAAACTGCCAGAATTTTAAAAGACAATATCTCCGTTTGCATTGAACTTTCAGCTTCGTAACTTTACAGATATTGTTTATGCTCAAACAGCAACATTAGACACTAACTAACGTTAAAAAAGTGAAATCGCAATGAACCACCCCTTTAAATTATTTTCTTTAGTGTTAAGCAGAAGAAAGTAAGTCATATAAGTTTGGAACGACATGAAGGTGAGTAAATGATGACAGAATTTTAGGTGGACTATCACCTTTTAAGCTACAATTCACAATGCTGTGAAAGAATGCCACGGTGAGATTTTGGCTAATTAATTAATACATTGTGTATAGCTGCAGAAACTTTTATGCATTGTGCTTAGTTTCAGTGCCTGAGGGAAACAGTTTCAAACTTGCCATCAAATGTTTCAACTGAAGTCACGAAGAGATCATGTTGTGTTCTGTACTTGTTCGATAAATGTTGCTACTTGACTATCCAAGATTATTACTATTCCAGAGTAAAGTTTAAACAGTGTGCAACATAAAACAAATACAGTAAGTGGATAAAACCTTGGTTAGTTAACAACTTCAAGTGTGAAAAGCCCATATAAAAAGACTGAGTTTCCTTACCAGGCCAAAGCAGAGTTTCATCGCTCAGCGATCCCACTGTATCCAGAGATGACAACATAGTTGAGGCATTACCCTCAAACATTCTCCCTACAAGGGATGGAAATGAGTCAGAGCTTTAAATAGAGCAAGCTGGATTTAAGAATGCTGGATTCTTGTTTGCAGTTTTGGCATGCCTTTCTGGGCATCGATACTGTATAAATAGTCATTTAAATAATTATAAAGTATACACACAATGTCAAACATTGCACGCAGGTAACAATAACACAACAAATATTTTAAAAAAAATTATATGACTTTTTATGTTCACATTGAGATAACACAATGATTAATGCCATACTCACCACATCCAGAGAGGAATACCAGATCCCCTGAAAACAAGCTGCTGGGGCCACCTATCGCTCGGCCATCAAGCAGGTAGATCACGTGACCTACTGTGTGGCCAGGTGTATAGAAGGCCCTGAAGTGCAGCCGAGTTCCAAAATCTATTGTGTCTTTGTCTGAAAGGGGGCTAAACAATCCAGAAAACATAAAATTACTTGTTTCGTGCTCTCAAGTAATGCCCGATTGTTATATCATATACAGTAAGAATAGGTTTAGTTTAGTTGAGTTAGAAAACATCAGATGTAATCTCTCAAACAAACATTTTTCTGTATTTTTAGATAGACAAATGTTTTTAAATTCTAACACATTTTGGATACATTTAAAGAAATAGTTCACCCTAAAATGAAAATTCTGTCATTGTTTACTCATCCTTATGTCGTTCTGAACCTTTATGCATTTCATTATTCTGTGGAACACAAAATAAGATATTTTGAAAATTTTTACAAAGGTTGTTTTGCACCTCACTGACTTTCATTGTATGGACAAAAACAGCTGAAACATTCTTCAAAATATATTATTTTGTGACCTCAGAATAAATAAAGTCATACTGGTTTGAAAGACATGCGAGTTGGTAAATAATGACAGAATATTCATTTTTAGAATTAACAGTTAAAATGATACATGATAGAACAGCAGAATATATTCAAAGGTACTAACTGTGTAAGGCCTGGAATGTTGTCCATAGCGTTCCCATACACTCGACAGGACCCGTAGCGTCTCTTTAGAGCCCTGTTTCCTCCACTGTGGTCCCTGGTTGGGAAAGGTGTATTTACAAAGTATAGTTGTTTTTAATTTTCATGTTTAGACATTCAATTTTGATTCTGTTAAATTCACCCCAAATAAAAACCTAAATTCTGTAATTTACTCAATCCTCTTGTCGTTCCAAGCCCACAAGACTTTCATTCATCTTCGAAACACAAATTAAGATATTTTTCAGATTCTTTTATCATTTTTATACATCCATTTTAAATCTATGCAACCAACATTTTCAAGTTTCATAAAGTACATAAAGACCTTATTAAAGTAATCCATATGAACTGAGCGGTTTAAGCCAAATCTTCTGAAAAGAGATGATCGTATGTGCAATGATCAATGTTTATATGTGAATAAATGTCTAAATTACATATTTCTCATTCATGTCTCATTCATATGGATTACTTTTAAAATGCCTCCTTGTACTTTTTGAAGCCTGCAACTTTTGGTCCAACTGATGGGCAAAACCTATGAGAGAATATTAAAAATATCTTCATTTGTGTTCCGAAGATGAACAGAAGTCTAGATGACAGAATTTCCATTTTTGGGCGAACTAACCCTTTAAAGGTAGTTAGACGTCTCATATGTCTTGAAATGTGAAATGTGAAAATGTGAAATGTGATCTTACAAAGCTAAAAGGGCCTTCATACTAAAAATAACTAATCAGTCTTAGAATTCTCACAAAAACAAATCAGTCTTCTTAACTGAATGTAACATATCTAGTTATTGATTACACTAAAAGATGGTCAAAAGATTGTGCAGCTTTCAGGCTGAAGAGATTTTTGGCATTTTCAAATTTGGTCTTACCAGTGTTTGTGTGTGCAGAGAACAGCTTGTAACGCCACCCCCTCTTCCTCTAGACATGCCTGTGTGGGTGTAAAGGACAGACCATGAAATGAGATAAAACAAAACCGGGGCTCTAGGTAATGTCATAAGTAAGATAAGACGTGACTATACATCACACATGCACAGTAAAGCATCTCTTCATGTATAGGAAGGATCCTAGATATTTTGATTATGACTTCCCTAACCTTAACACTACCTGATTACAATATTATTCAGATCACATTCGTTCATAAAAATCAAACAAACAAACAAAAAAACCAATCTCTACTTTTGCAAGGGATGAAAAACTGGAATCTTTCCATTACAATGAGAGATTTCCTATAACAATAACTGATTATTATTCCATCTTACACAATTTTGGTAAACCAGTGAGAAAGAACAAGCACTTTCCACTAAACCACATGGGTTTGGCAATTTCACTACAGTAAGACACATAATCCAGCAAACTATTTCTGAAACCACTGCACAGTTGTTTTGAATCCAACCTGAACAGGCTGAGGGTCAGCGGGATCAACCACAACAGCCATATTTGATGCCGTGTCAATGACCACATAGCTGTAATTGTCTAATAAGATGGGCACTGGTATGATCTTGATGCCTGTTGAAAGTAATAGAGTGTGACTTTAGATATTGATAATCAACTGTTGAGTGTATTATGGAAAAGGTGTTTCTGCTCACCGTTTATTATAGTAGGTTGAGTTTTGGAGTGCCCAGCAGGGTACCGCTCCCGTGCTTTCTTCATCTGCCTCTTATGAAATACGTACCCGAGTTTGGTCCGTGTATATAGAGAATACCTGCAAGTGTTTTTAAAGAGGACACCCGAGTGTTTTATGCCATTGCATATGTTCCTCTATGCAACTGTTCCTTCATGGCATTGTAATACTAACTACTCTAACTATGGAATTTGGGCAGAAATGTTGTAGATTCAATCTAAATGATCAATTAGGTGAGTAAAGGAATCCGTTTCATTTTTTTTAGAACTACTAATAGTTTTTTAGAAAAAAATATAGCCTAAAAAGTGTTTAGGCTATGGTTTTCATAATTACTTTCGTTTAGTTTATAGAAACCTAACTTCATTGATCTAACCATGGTGTTGACGAGCCCCAAAACAACAACAAAAAATTACATTTAAACTGTACATTTTCATTAGGGCCATACATCATTGACAGTAATGAAATGACAAATCAGTACCCTTCTCTAAAAGGAATATTTGCTACTTCTACACAGGTAAAATATTTATATTTCAATACCACATACATGTAAACATCATATAACGCTAGATGTGGATAAAAAAAAAAAACAGTAGCCTACTTAAACAAAAAAAATTACCGCAGCAGGCCAAATAAGCCACTTACGCAATCCAAAACAGCGGTTTCTCTGTGCGAGCCATCAGTTTACCGATCCGGCTGTTTTTCCATGCACTTATTCTGGCGCATTTAGAAACACGACAGATGTAAAAGCCTCCACATACTGAAGCAATACAAAGTAAATACACCGTCCAGTCCGGAAGCGCCATTATAGTGGGCGTGTCGACGATGACGCAATTAAACACTACAACTACGATTGGCCAGAAGTAACAATCACCGTAAAGACTCTTCTTCTTCTTCTTTTAGGATTTAATGGCGGTTGGCAAACCAACTTAAAAGGTGCATTCCCGCCACCTACTGGAAAGGAGTGTGAAGCGCACAATGAATAGGAACTTTAGAAACAAGAGCTATCTTAAAAAAAAAATAAATAAAAAAAAATTTTTTTTTTACCAAAACCGGTATCCTACATCCTATTAATCAATCCTGTTTCCTTTAAATAAATAACTAATT